GTTCAGCAGTGAAGTATTTAGTACAATTGCTGGCAACTTGTGTTATGTAGACATCTCCTGAAATAGCGAGAGCATTTTAGATTAACAATAGCAGCTAATAAAGGTAGCAGATTAAAGCAGGCATAGGAGAATGACTATTGGACTTGAGCCAAATGAAGTTTTTCTATGTTTTTACACAGCATTTGGAACACAGTCAGTACAGCAATTATGATGCAAAATTATGCATGTCTATATTTAGTCTTGGAGACCATTAACTGAACCTAAAATGCCATGCACACATGAAGATAATAAAGACTTACATGGTAGATAATTCAGGTTCTGTTGTTGATATACAGCAGCAAAAACATAGCAAGCCAAACACTGAATATTTTCTTGCCTTACAATCAGGAAGAAACTTTATTAAGATAAACTTATGTGAATTTTTAACCTAAACCTGCCTGAGTGGGATTATTACTTAAATGGAAGGATAATAAAGGCTCTAGAGATTATATACTGGCAGAGAGAAGGCAAAAGGAACTTCTAATAAATATTAAACCATTTAATTTTAACTTAAGCTATATATTTAGTTATATTGCCTTTCCCTGGCAAGTTGCTTGCTTCTTTGCAGAATCTCTAAAACTGCTGAAGAAGACAAACAGGAGAAGTCTTACCCTGTTGGCACAACCACTCAGTACAGCACTGGCCCTCTGGAAACCAAAGGAAAGTCACACAGTCATAAGCAAGAACAAGCTGATTGTCCCCTCACCTTCACCACCCACTTACAAAGGCACATAATAGCATTAGAGTTACCACACTACTAGAAACTTAAAATCCAGCTTGGACGCTTAAGATCTGGACAGCACCAGCTGTTATGTGACCAACGATACCTCAGGGAAACATACTTCCCACCTGAGAGGAAAGAAGGCCCTCTTTTTTCAATTAACACTTTGGAACAAAATCTCAAGTGAGTTTTAGATGGACTCAGACTTTTAGAGCACAAGGATGTTTTCCCCTAACCCCTGCTAGTGTTTCAATAAGTACATTCTGGATAAGCAACTTCTGATTTTCTGACCACAAACCTTGCATTTTCATCACTGTGGAAAAAGCTATCATTTGGGGGGGAAAGAATGAAAAAGGGTGGGGGGCGGGGGGAAACTGCGCTCTCTTATCTGTAAGGTCTCTTGAGAACACAGAGAGTAAGAATTCTTACCAAAGTTTTAAAGCACATAACACAGTGTCCGAAGTAACACCAAGTTTTTAAGAGATCATACTGGTGCATAGCCATGTTAGAGAATGCTTAGTACTAGAAAATAAAACATCCAGTTGGATTAATGTTTCTCCAGGTTCATAAATTTACTTGAAAGAAAAGGTAAACGGTTACTCCTCAGCTGAGCTGAAAGCCTTCAGGGACTACGAAATTACATGTCAGAAAGCACACAGCCAACACACCAGTCTAGTGGCTGTTCTTGTTTTAAGAAATGGGTATTTCTGCTTTCTCTCTGCCCATAATAATTTGTGTACATTTTTCATATTTTTTTTTCCCCCCTGCAAAACCAAGATGTCCAGAAATTAACAAAGTGAAGGCTCAGATTCTGAAGACAAGAACTGGCTTCACAGCAGAAATCCTAAAGGCAATCATTATTTTTCTCCCATCCAAAATTATTGCGCTTTGAAAAATGGAATTAAAAGACAAACTAAAGATTGAGAGGACACACATCTTACATGTTAGTTTTTTCTTCCTGTTCGATCCATCAGATACAGAAACCTGCAAACATAAGAGGAAAAGAAGGCAAATTAAGCTACAAGTATATTCTTATTATTGGCATCACAATCCTGCATTCTAAGAAGGTATTTCAAAAGATTGTTAAGAAACTTAAGACACACAAATTCTGTTAAGGACTGCTAGAAAGTCCACAAAAAATACTACTCATATTTCAGGTATGTCATTAGTTTCAAACAAACTGGCTTTTATTCTTTACGAGGCTGCATACTCATTAGAGATCTTATCACCTAGATTCCCTACATATATAGTATTACCAACCATGGGCCTCTCTATAGTGACAATGCTATTCTGACACAGCATTTATCATCCAAAACATTGTTTCACTGGAAGCAGAAACAGCACTAGTCCAGATGTGGGAATGCAATGATTCTCTAAATTTGAGCCCTGCAAGCCACATGCAGATGCATTCAGTATAGATGCTTTATCAAGGTTGCTCTCTAGTGATACTCTTTCTAGGTTCCCAACAAGAAAATTAACACAGACTCAGGCTCATAAGTAAGTCTAGTGAAAAGCAAGAAAGCAAGAACACATAGGCAGCACAATAAAGTCCAGATAATGTAATTATATTCTTCTCACATTAATAAACCTTGAAGGCTCTAGAGCCTTTTGTCTTGAAAAGACTACCTGCAGCACACTGCTTAGCATATCAGATTAAAAGATACCCTCAGCAATTTCAAGATTTGGGTAACACCAAATTAAAAAACTTCCTTCGACTGTTAAACCACTAACCTAAAGTATCTTAAATTGTTATGTCTCAACCTACAAGTGGAGTAGCTTTGGAGAAGTAATCATTTCAGAGGCATCAGCATTTTGTACTTGAACTACCTTTCCATACTGTATTCAGAATTCAACTCAGACGTGCAGAAAAAGAAAATCCCATGTCAGCTGTTGAAGGGAATGCTACAAGCCTTTAGTCCCATGCTAAGGTCATCTCATCAGTTCCACATGGATTCTACTGCCAGTTCAGGACCTTAACCATGACTTGTAAAGCTATCTAGTGATTAAGATCCACCAGATACATTTCCTTCCGAGTCTAGGCAGTTCCTCTGGAGCAACACAGCTCAAAATAGCCTCATTGAAGTATGCAAGAGCTAAAGATTAGCATTCCTGATGACAACAGTGTGGATGCAAATTTAATTGAGATACTGTATAAAGGGGAAACTCTACCTTTAGCATGTTACAACACTTTTTAACCACTATAACACTGTAGGGAATATATTCACAAAAGGGAGGAAAATATGTAACTCTGAAGCAGTATTTTATGTATTTACAGAAGAATAATATAATACACATTATTTAAAAGTATTTTAGGGATCTCCCTAGGCTACCCTAGTTAACACAGAAAGGCTTTAACTAAAGAGAAGTAGTAAGCAAGTTTTGTGGTTTTTTGGTTTGGTTTCCCCCATCTCTAAAACCTGTTTGGGAAAGCATGCAGTAGGAAACAAAAAAAATACAAGGTCTGCTCTTTGCCAGCATCTCATACTAATGTCAAAAATCTGACCAACTGCAGGTGGGAGAGAAAAAACACTGAACAGCCAAAACTGCTGTAACTACTTAATTATTTTTCTTCTGTGCCCATTCTTTGTACAGAGAGATCTGTTGCAGTTACTTCACCAACAGGTTCAACGACTTGCCCAGAAAGCTCCAAGAACCCAGCACTTGCTGCATGCAATTCTGCCAATTGTTTTTTTCACTTCCTGTCTCAAGCAAGAAATTCCTAGAGTGGACAAGACCTAGGTGAGTTGTCAAAAAATGAGTCTCTGGCACTCAATTTCAATTGCGTGAACATAACAGCAGAGACATCTTGCTGTAAACAGAAATTTACAAACCAACCAAACAAGAAACCCTAAACACACAGATCTCCCCAAAATACTTACACCAAAATCACAGACAGCTTGATAAATACCAAGGAAGCAGTAATCTAGCCGAGGCATTCAAGTGCTTTTCAGAACAAGTGAAGTACCAATAAACCTCAAAGAACTTAAAAGAAGCTGTCATGCTAATAACCTACCAGAACTTCATTTTTAGAAAGGCACTGGGGGAATTTTTTGACAAAAGTCTACAGGAATAGTTCCACGAACTCCTACACAATTCACTAACAAATACACCTTTCTTTTCAAGAACAAGTTAGATTAAACTTTAAAAATAGTACATTTCACAAATGCAGAGAACTGAAAGGAGCTGTTCTTAAAATTACTGGCTTGTGTTTTGGGGGACAGGGAGGGATCGACAATTAACGTCCCAAGATTTAATACAGAAATCTGATTAAGTAAGCCTGAGTTCAGACCATATTGTAACTCAACGATCACAAGCAGTCAGAAGGAGGGTTATAGACTATACACAACGCAGCATACCTTGAATGTCTTAATATCGTGCTTAAACTTGAAAAGGAGTGGCTCTAACTGGGTTTGTAAAACTCATTCAGAAGACGCTTGCTTGTCACAACCCTGTGCTATGATCATATTACACCATCTGATCATCTCCAGACCCACACAGGGTGTGACACCAACAGGGAACAGTATCTGGTAGTTACCAGAAAACATTTTTTCTACCCAAAGTAGAGGGGATAGGGAAAGGCAATTTTTTGAGAGGTTTCCACCTGCCCCCAGTATTGCGATGTCTTAGAAAAATAGTTTTTAAAGTCAGCATCAACCAGAAATTGCCAAACAAACATCCCCTCTCTGTACATTTCAAATAGTACTACAAGTTGTGACACGTATGTTTTAACTTGCAAAATGGGGGAGAGGGGGAGGTGGACATTTACTTAAAAAAGGTAGTAAGATTCCTTCTACTACAATCATAACATGAATGGAGCTGTGAATCTGCTTAAAGCTTTTATATTTGTCTAGTAATCCACAGATGCCACACAGATGGCTTTTATCCGGATAAAGACACATCAGTCTATGTATATGCAGGGTGCGCTCCAGTCATGACATTGTAGGTTAGCAAATATATCCTTGATAATGATATAAGACATTGTTTTCATTCATGTAATCACCATGAAAGTCCATGCATTTCCTCCCTAGCATTTTGACACTTCTCTTTCTACCACTGTTTTGATAACAGTTTACTATTAGCACTAAAATTTGCTTACTGTATCCAGTGATA